ATGCATCCGAAAATGATTCTTCCTTGCACCATCTCGCGTGGTGTCTCGCTCTCTCAATGTGCTTGGTGCCCTCCTATAAGATCCATGAGGTTCGTTGCCGTGACTCTCAGACATGGTTGTCTCAAGACATGTGGGTCTGCTTCGTAGCCATTTTGGCTCAAGGGTTGGCGGTGTATGAAGCAAGGCCTGGCCCGAGGCCGCTGGCGCCGGCCGCCGCCGCCGGGCGCGCCATGCCCTCGGCATCGTCGTTGGGGCGCGGCCTGTTGTCAGCCCCTGGCGCGGTCGCTTCGCGCGGCGCTGGCGGCGGCGACCCGCGGCGCCCGAGCTGCCGCACCGCCGCGTTCGCTGGCCTTGTACATCGTGGCCAGGGGCTCGGCCTCGGACGAGTGCGCCGCCTTCCACATGACAGAGACCCGGCAGGAGGGCGGGGGCGAGTCGAGCGTCACCCTCCGTACCTGCAAGGGTGGCTATCTGTCTGTCGTTGTGATTCCCATCCACACGTTCCATATGTACCGGGCCCAGGGGGGTGACGACTACCCTTTGGCGAACGTCAACACAGCGAACCTCGGCGGCGTTCTGTGGTACCTCCACAACGAGGTCGTGAAAGACTCGCCCCGGAAGTTCGGCATCACCCGCATCAAGGTCTCGACGACGTCCCCCGACAAGCTAGCCTCCCGGGGCATGAACTTCGGCGTCCGGTTCGCCTACGACAGCCAGAAGTGCACCAGCGCGGGGCCGTGGAACGGCCCGGGGTCGTGCGACAGGTACTACCAGGAGTACGGCAACTTCGTCGGCTGCAACTTGCTTGGTAAGTACCCATTCCCGATCGCATCCCAGGGCTTCCCGGTGCACTACGGGGGCGCGAAGTGGTACAGTTTGCCGAAGAAGGGCGCCTGCAAGTGCGAGGAAGGCAAGGCCTGCGCACCGACGGGCGCCGTGGACTGCATGCACACTGCCGAGTGGGCCGGAGACATCTACCTCCAAGATCTGGAAGGCATCGGCAACTACGACGGCTTTGTCGGCAGCGGGCAGAAGGAGTATGACCAAGGCCAGGACGCGGGAACTCCTTCTGGAATCAGAAATTCGACGATTATCTGTGCTGGCAGCGGATTCAGGCCGCAGACGCCTTCTTCCAGCGAGCGCATCCAGAATGCCCTGGAGACCGGGAGATGCCCGAACCCGACTGCGACTTTAGCTGCACTGACTTCTACCGCGGCATCACCGACGGCCCCCCAGACGACTGCAACGAGACGCTGCAGGAACAGAAGGCGGCACACTTCCATCCGGTCCTCGGCCGACGAGAGCTGTGCCTTGGCATCGCTCGGACGTGTGCATTTTTTTCTCGGCGTGGACCTTCAAGGAGCTTGGGCCCCACGGGGGAGGCCTGTGCAGGTGCATGCTCCGAGTTTCGTAGCATGCGCTGTGGAGACGCCAGCCCCCGCTGGCATCGACCCCGATCGCGGATGCCCAGCGCGCGCGCGGGAGGCGGTCCGCCGTCCGACGTGGAGTGCTGACCCCCACTGGGGGGGGTGACCCACCACGCGTGTTACCGAGCGCAGAGTAATCCCAGACTTGCCAGCATGGAGCATATCCCCATCCTCATGGTTGGTATAGCCTCATCCCGATGCCGATCTCAGGGACCCTCGCAGTTTCTGAGGGCGCATGCCTAAGAATATATACATATATATATGTATATGTGTATGCGCATGGCGGTTCCCCTTTCTGTGGCTCTCTGGAGAAATCGCCCAGGAGAGCCCCAGGAAGACGCGCGAGGATATCCTTCTTCCTCTGCTCCCCGAGCCTCCCCGCTGCTTCAGAGAGATACCTATACCCACCGGGAACTTTACTGTCGTTTGCTGGCGGGAAAGATTGTATCGAGAAGGTCGGCGACCACACTTCCTGAGAATTCGAGTGCATGGCCTGTTGAGGTGGATATGTTTTGGACCTCCTGAGGCCAGCAGCCAGGCATCGGGGGACCTGCTCTCCCTTTGTCCGCCTTCGTTAGGGCGTGCTGGCTGCTCTGGGCGGTGCCCGCGCGGTTCCTTGCGCGCTATGCCGCATCGCACTGAGCGCATTCGCGAGCGGAGCCGAAGAAAAAAAAAAGACATGTGGGTCTGCTCAGATCAGTTCGTGGGTGAGTAGTGGTTCCCGAACGTGCTTTGCGGCTGAACTTTACTTTGAAGGGGAGGATGGAGGAGGGGAGAGGAGGAGGAGGAGGAGGAGGAGGAGGAGGAGGAGGTGGAGGAGGAGGAGGAGGAGGACCAGTGTAAACCTAAGACTCATCAGCGATATTGGAATCCACACTCGCTCCAAGCTCCCTCTTCATAGGCCCCTACAAAGATTCATTTCCGATGAGGGAAGTGCCCCGTTGGGAGGCAACCGTGTGAAAATCCTGACGCGTGGTGCCAAATTGCCACTTTCAGGATTCCGCCGCCATGAGTCAACCTGACTGCGGCGTCTTGACGATGCTGAATCGTACGAGAACACTATTCCTGGGACTTCAACACCACGATTGAACGTAAATTCTACGCCCTTCTCATCCTGAATCTTTCCAAATGGTTTCTGGTACGTTAACGAGAAAACCGTGAAACCCTGGCAAATTTTTGAAAGGAATGCGCACGCCGCTGAGGCAAGAGCCCCATTTTGAAAACGACCTGTCCTCAATCCGTTTTGTACATTTTTGAAAACGAAAGTGCGCGGCGCTATGAGCCACATTTTGAAAACCACCCGCCCTCAGTCAAGGAAAATCTTGCACATTGTTGAAATGAATGTGCGCGGCGCTAAGGCGAGAGCCACATTTTGCAAACGACCTGTCTTCAATCCGTGAAGCCCCGCCAGTTTTTGAAGACGAACGTGCGCGGCGCTAAGGCGAGAGGCACATTTTGGAAGCCACCCGCCCTTCATTTGTGAAACTGTCGCCAGTCTGTAAGCTTCAGGCTGATTAATGGCAGGGAAGTGTCAGGCGAAACGCCCGACTCGCCCTTTCCGCCTGGCCTCTGGCTGCGACATGGGAGGAGTTACTCATGCATGTCAGGCTGTCAGGCGTGTCATCAGCGTGTCATGTCAGCTGGCTGAGAGAAAAGTAAAAAGAGTGGAGATCAGGCGTGGCATGGCAGCTTGCTGCAGCTGCCAACATCCAGTGTTCGGCGGTGCTTTTTGCCCTGCCACGCAGGGGGGCTCGGGGGAGGACTACCAGAGGAAGCTGGCGGCCTCGAGCCGCCGGAGACACTTCTCACTGCGACAGTTTGCTCTGGCGAGGGGTGCGCCAGGCACGGGCGGGCGAGGTTACGGCTCGTCGACCGTTCCGCACAGTAGGACGACTTGCTCCTCGATCGTGCTGGTCGATCTCGTGATAGCTCGATCGTGCTGGTCGGTCGTGGTAGGCTACGAGAAGGAGTGCCTGCTTGCGCCGGCCCTCCTTCGGGAGTGAGGAACGGCGAACCCGAGATGAGGCTAATCTGTCTTGTGTGCTCAGGCCATGCGTGCAATGGCCTTCTCAGCTCGGAGCCATTCTGTCACGCGGTCGGCACATCAAGCAGTCAGTCGGCCTGCCAGAAGGTGCCCCGCGGAAAGTTCGTATCCCCCGATGGCCCCAGGGACCCACAGAAGCTCTCGGTCACCTCAGGGCCCTCGACGATCGACGAAGAATGTGTCCCGAGATCTCTTGTAGCACGGCGTATTCTCGCATGTGAGTGACGCCGAAACACGTGGTCGTCTTCGCCGCAGACATTCGCGCTTCAGCTGCCCGCGCAAGGTCGCGCGTAAGCGCCCTCGTCTCCAATGTGGAGTGCCGCGCTGGCGGCCCGCGTAGGCCAGCGCGTAGGGTCGGTATGCCATCTCGCGCAACACAAGGTTCTTTTCGTCGCTTATCTGCAGCGTTCTGGAAAGAGCCTCGCCTTCGAGGGACGAAGGAGTTGGCATCTCTTCCTTGGCGGAAGGTCGGCGGAAGGTCGGCGGAGGGCGGCGGAAGTAAACGAGGGCGCCTCCGCCAGCGGAGGTAAACATCGACCTCCCAAGAGATGCCACGTTTTTGCTTGTTTAGGGTTTTCGGCATTCGCCACGTGCCTCTCTAGGATGCATCTCTGGGAAACTTCTGTGTGACATCGGCGCTGGTATATCACTTGCCTCCTCCGGCTGCATCCCGCTTGATCCTGCTCACTCTTTCTCAATCCAGATCAGTTCCGCTCAATCTGGCTTAACCCTTGGCCTATCTGGGCTCAATCAGTTCCGGCTCACTGTCCCCGTCATCGGGATTCATATTAGGGGGCGAGGAGCGGTATGACATGAAGTTCTCCGCCGTCGTGGACGCCCGCCCCAGGGCGGCTGGAAAGTTTATGTCCAGACGTGCCACCGCAGGAGTATACACTGTCCAGCCGCCCCAGGACAGGGGTCCCCGACGGCGGAGCAGCTTAGTCTGTACCGTTCCTCGTGCACTAATGCCAAGGCGCTCTCCAGGGCGCGAAGCTATTCGCGCTTCGCGGTTCGCGGTTAGGCTCCGATTCCTCCTCATCCTCCTCTACTCCCCTGGGGGGGCGGCGCGAGAGCGCGAAGTTCGGCGCCCTTGTAATCACAGTCCTTGGCCGAGCTGACCTGACTGGCCCGGGCCTGGATTGACCCGGGTCAGCAGATTCCCGACCGCGGCCCGGGCGGCCGATCGCCGCGGGCCCTCGCAGCCCCTCCCCTCCCCCCCCTCCTGCTCCTCCTCCTCCTCCTCCTCCTCCTCCTCCTCCTCCTCCTCCTCCGCCTCCCCCCCCATGGAGTAGATCCTGGATGTTTTTGGCGCCTGTTTCGAGCAGGTGGAGTCTCCCCCACAGGACGCACTGCTGCAAACAGTCGCACTGAGCGGAGGTCCGGAGGGAGACCCCCCCCCCTTCCGCCCAAAATGTCGAAACGTCGAAGAAGAAAACGCTCACCAGCGCAACAAACCACGGCCGGACCCCTGGACCCCATCCGTGTGCGCCACTTTTCGAGCCGGATCGATCTGTGAGGGTCCCGGGGCCTGACACCGGGCGAGAACGGCGGTTTCGAAGCAATGAGCCAGATCGATCTGTGAGGGTCCTGGGGCTTGAAATCGTGCGAAAGCGACCGCTGCGAAACAGTTGTAACGCCAGGATCTCAGGGTCCCCGCGGGCGATGCAGGCTGCCGCCGAGTGCGAAGCGGCCCCCGAGCGCTCCTTGCCCCGGCCCACCGCTCCAGAGCCCTCCGCGTGTCGGGGGCTGCCAAGAGGCCCACGAGATCTCCCCGAATCGCGCGGCTCCCACTTCGCATCTCAACACGTCCCTGGTCCCCCCCCCCTTGGGGCCGCGCACGTGCCTCTGGCCATGAGTTGCGACCTCCCCCTCTTTCGAGCAGGGGAGCGACTGTGGAATTGGTCTGCCCCAGAACTGCTTTGTCCGTCGACTCCGTGTGGCCAGTGCGCAGAATGTTCCGGGATCGACGAACACTCTGCGTACGACTCGACGGGAAGATCAGGCTTGGGGCAGATCAGCTCTCGATCCACTCACTACTCGACTCTTGGACGACCCCCGCTCAGTCCCCTCCGAGCGAGGGGAGCTCGGGGAGCATCGCACCCCGCATGCGCGCTCCGCAGCCGCGCCGGAGGGCCGCGCCGCGATCGGGTGCAGGGCGGGCGCGCCGGGCGGCCGAGCTCTCCCTGCGTGGCAGGCCCCCGCCCGAGGAGGACAAAGCGCGCCACGAACGTGCGGTCGGGAGCTGTGGCGGAGCGTGCAGTCGGGGCCCTGAAGAAGGAACCCTTTCCGTTGGGGAGGGGCTCCGTATTCCTGAATTGTTTCGCAGCCTGCCTCAGATTTGCCTCAGGTTCTCGATGCGAAATCGAAGTTTAACCTGTGGAGAATAGGGGCCTCGTTCCTTATTTAGGGTCCCTTAGGTCAACGCCTCGACCGTATCGCTCCGCCAGTTCTGGCCCGCCACGCCTCGTCGGGAGCCGTGTCGGTCGGGAGCCGTGGCGGAGCGTATCGCTCCGCCATGTTCTGGCACCTGGCATCGCTCGGACGTGTGCGCTTTTTCCTCGGCGAGGGCCATCGAGGAGCATCCTTGATCATTTGGCGAAAAAGCCACGCACGACACCGAAAAAAGCACAGGGGATGGACGTCCGAGCGATGGCCAGGGCCCGCCACGCCTCGGCGCGACGCGCCGTCCACGTCCCGGTCCCCGGGGCGTCGCCGCCCCGAGGGCTCTGCCCAGCCGTCCGCCCCGCGGAGCGGAGCGGCGCGCCGTATCCGCCTGCGAGGCATATGGCGGGCCGCCGGGGCCGCGGCACGCCGTGCAGGAGTTGCTCAGAAGCGAAAGAAGGGCGTACATGATCATGTACACGAATCCACGCTGGTTTCGAGAGTGCGCATGGCGCAACTGTTCGTATGACGTGGCCGGTCTCGCGGATCGAGGGGCCGTGTTCATGTACATAGCTGGGCGCGTACGTCCTTTGTGGGCTCCCTAGTTGCTGACCGTGAGCCTTCGGAGGTCGACCGGGGATTCTTGTGCTTTCGGGGCAGGCTGGTGGGGACGTCTCGAGCGGGGCGCTGGTTTCGGGGCCCCCAAGGGGGGAGCCGTCGGCGGCCCGTTCACGGCCTGGACTGTGGGGTGTCTCGAGCGGTCTGTCTTTTTGGTGGCTTGGGCTCGTCGGCTTTCAGAGGAGATTGTGGGGATGTCTCGAACCGGGCGGTGGTTGTGGCACCCCAAGGGGGGAGCCGCCAGGGATGGCTGCACTCGCCTTTTCGCGGCCAGATTGTGGGGAGGTCGCGAGCGAGGTGCTCGTTTTGCACTGCTGCTGACTCCTGTCCATCCAGAGCCCTATGATCACCTCGATCTACGGAGAAGGACGACCGTCAGGGAGGAGGAGGAGGAGGAGAGAATATGAAGAACGACGGAGTAGGAAGGAGAAGGGAGGAAGGAGGAAGGGAAGGGAGGTGGTACGACTAGGAAGACGATGAACAACACGGGAGGAGGCCGGAAGGGAGGAGGACACTTGCCAGGGAGGATAAAGGAGGAGGGAGGACGGAGGGATAGGGAGGACGAGGAGGATAAGGAAGGAATACTACGCAGGAGGACAGAGAAGGACTGCCGCAAGAGAGGAGGA